ATTCTAGGGCACTGGTGGTTAAGAGGGAGGACGGGGGGTTTGAGATTTGAAAAGTTGAAGTGTACCGTTTGAGATTTGAAAATTTTGAATTACGGAATAATGGAGCCAGGTTTAAAGGTGGGTGCGGCCGTGTAGGGGGATGAAATATGAAATTACCATCATGACCTTATGAAATGTGAAAATTTGTTATAAGAGGGTGTTAGAATCACATTTTTATGAAAAATGTATTTTAGAATAATAAATTGATGGAAATTTGTGGTTAAAAAATAGAAAAAATAATTATTTACCTCTAATATTATTTTAATGAATAATGTATTATTGGAAAAAAAAATGTATTTTGAAAAGAATGAGAATCAAACAAGATCTAAGAATGAAAATGAAAAATATAGTAGTTACAGCCCCACACAAGAGATAGATTTTTAAATATAAGCCTTGTTTGAGCCACATTATTTTCAAATATATTTTTAACAGTAATTTGACATCATTTCAACCACATATTATTGAATAGAATAATACACGCAAATCTAAATTTTTTTTTTTATTTTTTAGTCACACATTTCTCATTGATTGGACATGAATAATGCATTTTTCTTCTTAGAATGTGGCTCAAACATAGGCCTAGTGACTTGATATGACGGATAACGGTCATATTTTTTATTTTAATGACTAAATAATAGGAAACAAATGGGATTATGTTTGTTTGGTTATGTAAAGGCCCTATTTGGGCCGTATTATTTGAAAAAAATATATATTATTAAATAGTAATTTGACATCATTTTAATCACACATTTATCAATAAAATAATATTACACACAAATTTAAAACGTTTCTTTATTTTTTAACGACACATTCTCTATCAATCAACTATTCCAAAATACATTCTTAAAATATAATGTGGCTCAAATACATACTAAAAATTTTAACTTATAAGCCCCCGTTTGACCCCATTTTGTGAAAATGAAAATTGGTGGAATAGGGTTTTTTTTTTTTTTTTTTAATGAGTGGTTGAAAAGAATGAAAAGTTTTTATTTACGTGTAAAATTATTTTATAGAAGATTGTGTGGTTAAAAATAGGAAAGAGAAAAATCTAAATTTTTTCTTACTTTTTAACCACATATTATTCAAAATTCATTATTCCAAAACTTATTTTTCAACTTTAATGGTAGGCGAACCAGGCTTAATTTGTACTCATATTATTCAACTTCACAAAAGAGAAGTCCTCGAAAGTCATACAATATAATAATGGTAAAACAAGCGATAATAGAAGCAACTCTCTTAGTATTGCAACGTCATTTCAAATAATCCAAAGTACAATAAACAAAACATTTTCTTAAAATAAAAATTAGACAGAATTTTGTGCAATAAACTTCTTGATAAGTATCATTAACTCGTTTGATGGTTCTGAATTGGGATTAATGGTGAAGAAGCCATGCTGCTGCCCTTCAAATTCTGCATATTCAATCTTCTTTCCCCAGTTTTTCATCTTCTTTCCCCAGTTTTTCAATTTCTTTGCATACTCTTCAGCTCTATCTTTCAACAAATCAGATCCTCCAACCACAACTAGAATTGGGTCAAGGCCCATTGTCTCCAGATTCGGGCTCATGGGCCCAAATGGGTTCACAAGTGGATGATCAGTTGTTTCTCCAAGTGGTAATGATAGCCTCCAAAACCTAGCCCAATAAGAAAAATATGATAAGGTCCACTTTGATTATCATTCAATAAATTAGTAACACTGAGTTGCCATTTCCATATGTTAGGTAAAGCTTTTTTATTATAAGTTATGAATCATACAGAATGTGAAGATAATAAGTGAATAATAGCTAATTCTGCATAATGCGGATAGAAATGATTTTGACCACTTTATAAACTTGAAATGGCTTTACAAAACATACTAGCAGTTGTGTTTTAAATTATTAAAGACCTTATTGCCAGAAAAAAAAAAAAAA